CCCGCTGCTCTTACCTGTCAAATTTAAATGTAATTTACTGTGATACAGGCGCGGTGTCATCCACAGCATTGCTGGTACGTGTGATGCAGCTGGGAGATCTCGTCTGTGTCTACCTCTGTGTGCATCCCAAATCTCTGCAGACACAGGTGAGGAAAAGGCAGAATAGAAGCAGGAGAAATCTCTCTCTTGAGTTCCTGACAAACCTGGATAGATGGATCGAGGTCAACACTTGCTGTAGATCCAGGATGCCAAAATATACAGCCCTGAATACATCCCTTTGGGCCCTGGCACCCCATGGGCTCTGACCGCAGCCCCACAGCCCCCTCCAGAGCCAACCCCCTGCACTGGTCTGCAGCTGGGGTGGCCTGGGAGCGGGTGATCTCGGCGACCGTGGGCAGCACGGGCAGAGCCGAAGCAGGGAGATGGCAGCACCAGGTCAGGGCCTGAGCAGGAGTGGGAAACCTCAGCTCCAAGCACTTTGCCTGCAGCCAGGCATCAGCCACTGCTGGGCACTCAGCCTCTGGTCCTGAGCAGGATCCTGGGCAGCCTTACTGGGTGAGGGAAGGATTCCATGGGCCTGGCCCTCCCAGGGTCCATCCTGAGCGAGCCCTGGGGTCAAGGCTGAGCTCCCACAGGCAAACTGCTGACCAGCAAACCACTGCCAGGCTTTCTTATCTCCTGCCTGTTCATTGTTTCGGTGTCCTTGAGAGCAGAGGAGAGGGACTGATAGAGCCCTGTGTGAAAATAAAGGGAGGTGGAACAAAGAGCTGGGCAGGGTGGGCTGGCATCGCTCCTGCTGCGGGTGCATCCTCCTCGCCCCACTGCCGGGGGCTCGGGGGGAGCAGCAGGAGTCTGCGAAAAAGCCAGCAGGGAGCTCAGGGTGAGGCGCAGGGCTACTAGAAAGCTGAGTGTCTGGGAGCGAGATCATAAGAAGGGTTTCCTTGGTGGCTTGTGCCAGCTTCTGGCTGTAAATCACAAGCCAGCGCCATGCAGAAGGCCCCAGCGCCTCGGCTGCGTGCTCCTGCGCAGCAAAAACGCACATTTGGAGAGCTTGCTGAAAAACAGGGTGGAGGAGCGAGCACCAATTCCACTGGGAAAACTTGTTGTTTTCTCTGGCTAACACTGCCCCTTGCTAGCCCACACCGGTGTCCCATCCCCGGCGAGCGGCAGCCAGCCACCATGCTGCGCTGGGGATCGCCCATCTGCAAGCTCAGAGCATGCCGGCTGCAAACACCCAGCCCAAAAATGTGCACTGGCACCTCCCCGTGCGCTCCTCGCAAACGGCAGCACCTCGCCTGCCCCAGCACTCCAGACTAGGCAGAACCATCCCTCTTAAATCCGCAGCTTAAATACAGTGGAAAACCCACCACAGCAGAACACAAACTGCGCGGGGGAAGGTAAGATTTACAGGAAAAATGTTACT